TTCAGGAAAAAAAAAAGGTGATCCAGAGTTGATTAGAAATAGTTCAAGAAAAAGAAGTCATTCAAAGTTGACTGGAGACAGTTCAAGAGAAACGTAGCATTGTTTTTAATTAAACAACATTTAATAACTGAAACTGTCTGAAAGTCACTCAGAAGGGTGACCTTGATCACATATGTCAAGGTCATCGGTCGTTTTATTTACCAATACTACTAAAGTACCTCCAGTCCTACAATTTTTTACAAACACCGAACCCCAACTAAAACCTTCACAATATTACTCAGGACGGTGATCTTGACAACATATTAAAAAATCAACGAAATCTAAGGTGATTCCCTTATTTTAAATATTTACCCAATTAAGAACCAGAGCGACGATATGGTCCATGGATCTCATCTGACGGACGTGTTTCGTGGATTCAAGGCGGTTCGTGGTTCAAACGGTGTTTCCTGGCGCGTAGATCACTCGAGATCGCGGAAACGGTCGATCTTCCAGGTGGAAGATTCAGCACGAACGTCGCAACAGGAAAAACCGGCCGTGATACCGTTCGGACCGCGATCTGTGCAACCATTTGACAGGCTTCGTTATACAATACGCGAAAAATAAAAAAACACGGACGATATATTACATAAGCGACATTGTGTAAGGAGCACGATATGAAATCAGAAAAAATTATAGACACGAAACGACTCAACGAGCATCCGCGAGCTTGTTGACGGGCGAGTGCGTGGTTGAGATTCTTCTGTTGGCTCGTGTTTCACGTTCGTTTTATCCGGGCGAATCCAGAGCAGAGATGGAAAAATTCATTATCTAGATAAAGTTTCGAATAGTGAATTAGAAGATTAAAAAAAAAGTATCTCGCTATTTTTATAATAACATGTTTGTGATTAGAGAATACTTCTTAAATGAGTAGACACTTTGTAAACAATTATTTAATCCCATTAATTGTTTAAAGATCAGGATGACGGGTTTAGATACGTAGGAGAGACCGGGGTTAAACGTAACAGGGGTTAGTTGTAACGGGGCTTATAAAATTTTAAATAACAGAGACAGCGCTGTGATAACAAGTAGTCAATAAATTGTGATAATTAAATGATCTTATTAAGAAGATATTGTTATGTTGTGCTAACTATAAAAAGACAACATTTTCTTGACGTCTGCAGTCTCCCGAATTACATTGTTATCGATAGTTTCCCAGAAACGAAAGGAATTCTGTACTTATACTGTAAAAGTTAAATATTTATACCAGTAAAGTGGTACTTCACTTCGACTAAGAAAAAAACGAATACTATTCTTCTTTGTTGAATCGATTTTCAAATCGTCAATACGAGTCTGACTCGATGTTATATGGCAAGTGGTTAAGAAATAATGCTCTGTTGAGCCAATTAAATATAAAACTATAATGTTACATTGATTCTGTGTAATAATTAGTTAGTTTTAATTACATGCTGTCTTTCATTGTGCACAATGCTGCTTAATCTATTTGTGGTACAACTTTACCCCAGCGTTGTTACTTTTTACTCCAGCCCGGTCAATTTTCACGGTCTGGGTTAGGTTACTATTTTTAACAATCAATTTCAAAACATTACATCGCTATAGAACTAATCTTGAATCTCCAACCTATCCGTATAAGCTAATATTAAATCTCTAGCTACAATAAAGACTTTTTTTATTTCATGAAAACCAAAAACTGTGATTTTTTACTCCGGTCTACCCTACCGATGTTTCCACTATTATTCAAATAAAATTACGCTCAACTCCGATCTACAGTAAAGGACGTGGTCTGCTTGCGGTAGCGATAAAGGAACGTCTAATGTTTCGTATTATCGCATATTCTACTGGGAATATATCGGAGGATTAAAGGTTCTGCGTCGAGTTCCAGTAATCTGTAAATAAAATGCCCACTCGGTTAACAGGCTGAAGCTGGGACGAAGGAAGTCGTATGTCTCGTCGAGTGAAGTTCTCTGTGTTTCTTTTTATTTGCTTTTTTTTTCTTCGTATCCCTCCCCCCCTCCCGCCAATCTTCGAACATGATGATTCGAAAAACAAATCGAATAATACCGTCGCTAATCCGGAATACCAGTTTTACAGCGAACGTCGCGCGAACTGATATCAAGATGATAACCTGGAGCGTTTTGTTATTACGGGCTACGATTATACATAATAATATTAATTAACGTCTAAGGAGTTAACTGTAATGATATGGTCTTACTATGACAATAATTAAATTATACTATCTAACTCGTCATCCAGCTTTGACCGACTTGTTTTGGTTAATCGATGAACTAACTCCGTAATTAATCGTTTCCTACATCGTTTGGATTCTTTTTATCGTGCACACCTGTATTCCTACTGTCGTGCAACAATAAATAATTAACGATATTTATTTCGTTCGATATTAATTCAACCGACTGATCTCCACGAGCGATACAACTGATCCCAATAAATACATACGACATAAATAAATACTTCGAACTTCGAAACGGTAAAAATCTGGACGTAATTCTTTCGCTACGATTCACATAACCCCCGCTTCCTACCTCTGGCAAAATATTCTATTCGATAAACACACCTAATTAACATACGTATTAACCTTCGTAACATTGCCCGTAAAATATTATTGCTGTCGATTCAGCGACTACGCTGGAAACCTGTATCAATTAATTATGCAATTACTTCATCGATTAATGGAATAATACAAATCACGAAAAGTCATGAAAATCTTACGGCTGTTTCTTTTCTCTCCCATCGATGTGGGACCTCCGAGCATGAACGTATCCGTGCTGTGTTTCCGTGTGTGTGTGTGTGTGTTAATACTTGCCTCGATAAACCCATGGCCGACACGAATGTATCGAGATTAACTTAAAAGTAGCAACACCGAAGGTCCCAATAATTCAAGTAATCCAATCGTTAACAACAATTTACAGAATCCTTTTTGCATAAGTTCACGCAACAGAGTGCGTTCACACAGACACAAGAATCGAGGTTACTTAACGTATCTAACCCCTCTTATTTCGATCGATCGATCGATCGATCCTCGCCCTGACATTGCCGTTTCTTACAATCGAAAAACATGTGTCCCTTTCACGATCACTCTCCGATAACATCGCCCTGCACACACGCTACCGACATTACCACCGTTCTTTTCTACACTCTTCACACCCCACTCGACCATCATCGCCAACAAAATCTCACGCACGACTCACCCTGAATAAAGTTTAAAAACATTAACGATAGTTATACATCTATCTCTATAATTATTATCTGCCGAGGCTTGTCTCGTTGCCGCCCGTTTACGCGAATCGTTCGGAACGTGGGAATAGTAACACGGAACTGAACAGGTGTGAATGAATGATTAATAATAAATGCGGACGAGATCCCCCCTCCCCCTTCACTTGGTTCCGAAGGATTCGCTTGTTCGGACCCGTGAACCACGACGAGCAGGCCAAGATACTTTAAAAGTTCATCAGTGCTCCCACTGACATTAAAGACGCTAAAATTATTCATATATATCTATATATATATGTATATATATATATCTGTATATCTTCATTTCGTTTTTTATTATCAGCATCTCCCCTCAACAATGTCACTGAGTATTATTTATTTATTACTTCTTTCTCCATGTATGGCGTTCGTACCGGTGTTCTTCGTCAACCAGTCGCGGTATTAAGGATCGTGACGTCTCCTCCTATGGTTTTTTGACCAAGCACTTGCAGACACTGTTCGTTGAAATTCCCATTCGACCTAGTAGCACACACGTGTACCCTCGCGAGCAAACTTCGGCTTCTGCTAGGGGAAAATGTGGCGCAGAAGAAAGGTCTCCTACCACTTAGTAAATTTATTTCAAGTACTAAAATAAAAATGTTAAACCGAATGTGAATTTGACATACTTTTCAGTAACTCCTAAAACTAAATGGTAGGAAGCCCTTCTCCTACCCCACCTTTTCCCCTAGCGGAAACCGAGTTTACTCGTCGGTGTGCCCTCGCGAGCAAACTCGGCTTCCACTAGGAGAAAAAGCAGTGCAGAAGAAGGGCTTTCTATCACTTGGTATTATTGAAATTTATGTGAAATTAACATTCAATTTCACATTTACTTCGGTACTTGAAATAAATTTACCAAGTTATAGGAGGCCTTCCTCTTACGCCACTTCATCTCCCAACGGAAACCGAATTTTCTCGTCGGTGTACACTGTTTTTACACCACGCCTGCGCGAGATGGGATCAACAACGACTTCTTCGCTCTCATCTGGCTTTTGTCTCTCTGTGTATGGGTGTGTGTGTGTGTACCAGTATAAAATATAGCATTGGAAGAAAGTGTACCGTTCGCACAACGGAAAAAACAACCGCGGCGGGGCCCGTGTCCCCCATCTAAACGAGAAACTGAACGAGGAACCGAAGCGCATCTTTAACGGAGGTGCACAGAGTCGGCGTGAACAGAAAAGCAACGGCTTAAACTACTACGTTTCGCGGTAATACTTCTTTGCGTTTAAGTTCTTCTTCACCTCATTATCTGGGGGGGGGGGGCTCAAAGAACTTTTCAACGTAAGTTTCCGCGATACCTATTTAGGCTAATAGAGAGGAACGTACTTGTAATTCATGGTTTCCCTTAACCCGCGAATGAATTACATGCTACTAGAAGGCGTAGCAACGAACGGTAGGCCAAAGGTGTTCGAGTCGTCGGCTGTGATCGTTCATTGCCTCGACGCT